AGGTGCCACTTTTTATAAATGCCAGCCTTTTTCATTTGGGAAATTTAAAAAATATCTTAATGCTCAATTTAAAAAGAGGATTTAGTTCCTAACTTGGCACACAAATGAACAGAATCTACAGTATATGGTAGACATGACTAAAGCTTTTCCTCAATGTTCCAGCAATGGAAATAACTCAATAAATTCATAAGTTCTATCTTTGAATTGCTGTTTCATTTTCATAGTTTTGAAGGTTCATGATACCCTTTAAAAAATGTCTGCTCATTTATTCTTTTATCCAGTTATTCATCAAATTTATTCAGACTTAAGGTTTTTCCAGGCAAGTAGAAAAAACCAGAGAGGTCAAGATTGTAGAAAAATCCAGAGAGGGCAAGATTGTTAAAAGGTGGGTACAGGATTCTCTTTTGATGAATCATGGAACCCAACCTGCTAAGGAGGAAAGTAAGTGTTACTGGATGGTGCCATGTAGTTCCAGGCTCTTGGTGTCCTGGACAAAGAATTGGACGAGACGCACAGAGATAGCGAAGCAAAGCAGCAGAAGTGTATTAAGCGCAGTATTACACTCTCGGAGTGGGGGAATGGACTGAGTTCTGTGAGATAAATCAACCTTAGTTTCGTCCTTTGGGTCCTTTTACGTGTTTTGTTTTCTTCTCTTCCCAAGGATGCCTAATCTCTAGCCAGTGTCTGCCTTTTGATTAATAGATGTTGCTGAGTTAATTTGGCCCTTGTGTGCTTGTGTGTCATCTCCATCCCATAATTTTAAGTACATGTATGATATGCAGTCCATATGCATGAAACTTAAGTAGCTAATTACCATTTTGGGTCATTTTAAGGATACTTCTTTTTAATGAGCATGCCGCTCTCTGGGGAGCTGCCCCTGACAGGTTTGGTCCGAACCTAGCTGGCCATGGGGGCTCCTTACTCACTTTTTTTTTTTTTTTTTTTTTGAGACTGAGTCTCGCCCTGTCACCCAGGCTGGAGTGCAGTGGTGCGATCTCGGCTCACTGCAAGCTCCTTACTCACTTTTTTATCTCACTTTTGTTTTGGCTGCTGAACCTCTGCTTCTTATCTCGCTTCTTGCTCAGTCACCCCTTCACCTTCTTTCTGCTCTCATGCTTTTACTTATTCTGTTCTTTATCCAACTTTTAATTCCTTTGGCTATTTTCCTGCATCATTTCCCCTGTTTTCCTGTCTCATAAGCATATGAGGATAACCGATTATTCTTACCCTTAAAATAATATTAATAATAACAATAACAAATCAAAACTATTACCAGTGGTGGGTGTCCAGGTTCTTTGCACTTTGAACAAAGAATTGGACAAAACACAAAAGCAAAGCAAGGAAAGAATGATGCAACAAAAGCAGAGATTTATTGAAAATCAAAATATACTCCACAGGGTGGGAGCAGCCTGAGCAAGTGGCTCAAGGACCTGATTGCAGAATTTTCTGGGGCTTAAATACCCTCTAGAGGTTTCCCATTGGTTACTTGGTGTACATGTAAATGTATGTAATGACAAATACATACATACATTTCTTTTTACTTTGTCTATTTACATACTTTGTCTACTTTGTCTATGTAAATGAAGAAGTGGCCTGCAATCAGTCTAATTGGTTGTGGAAAGTGACCAATCAGAAGCTGAAGCGAAGTTACAAAATTACACCCTATGCAAACATCTGATTGGTCATGGGAAGTGACCAGTCAGAGGCTGAAGTGAGTTACAAGGTTATCCTCCTATGCAAATTTAGACTTGGCCGACAACCATCGTGACTGGTCATGGGAGGGGACCAATCAGAGGTATTTTCAATTTTTCATTTGCCACACAGAAAAGGGGGGTGGTTGCAAAGGAAGTAGCCTCTGGCCCTTTTGTTACTTGAGTATGGAAAGTTGGGGTTTTCCTTTTGATTTAGTTCTAGGAAGTCAGCGTGAGTGGACCTTAGGTTTCCTGCCTCCAGACCCTATTCTCCTGCCTTAAAAACACAATGACACCTATGTTCCTTATATTATTAATTGAATCTCATTTCACATTGTTCAGTTACTATGGATCTTTCTACTTCATGACCTCAAATCCAATTAGTTTTCTAGTTCTGTTGATGTTTCTTGAATTTATTCTTTCTACTATGTCTATTTATTTACTTTGTATTATTTTTTTGTTTGTGTTCTTTTGTATTTATGTATTTTATAGTTTTGGGGTACATGAGATAATTTAACAATATAATTTATAAAGATCAAGTCAGTGTACTTGGGATAACCATAACCTTAAATATTTGTCTTTTCTGTATGTTAGAAACATTTTAATTATTATCTTCTAGCTACTTTAAAATGTACTACATATTATTGTAATTATAGTCACCCTACTGTTCTATGGAACACTGGATCTTTTTTCCTCGATCAAACTGTGTGTTTACTGCCACCTTAGTGTAGACCCTTACAATCACTTTTCAAAACCATTGCAATGCCACCTGATGGGCTATCATGCCTCTATATTTATCCATATTCAGTAAAATATGCAGTAAAAGGGAAATTAGGAGGCAAAGCCTCAACTGTTGAGTGCTTTTATAATACGTAGTAGATTATAGGTACTCTCCTAAACAATATGTACATGTTAACTAATTTATTTAATCTTCACATCACTTCTGTGTGGGAGATACCATTATTCTTTCTTTTATTAATGAGAAAACTTTGGCCCAGAGCAAATTGACCAGATAAGGCTACACGGCTAATTATTGCGGTAGGCAAGGATTGAATCCAGGCAGTCTAGTTGCAGAGTCTGTACTCTCATCCATTACACTGTGTATAGTACTCAGGTGTGTCCTCACTGTGCTGTCTGCTGTGGCTGTACACATATTGTTCCTCTGCTTGTGGTACCCTTACTCCTCCTCCTCTGAGTGTTAACTTGTACTCACTTTTTTTGGATTGTATCACAAGAATCTTTAATGTTTACTTTAACATTAACTCATGGTGGGGTTGAAAATGTGTTTAGTAAAGTGTGCCAAGTGCCCACATTGAGACCAGCTCCATTCAAATCAGTTCACTCTGCGAGGATGTTTCCTGTGCCCAGCAAGGTCATGAAGAGAGGGGCCTTGACTTTTCTCTTTGTTAGGTCAGCTTTGCTGGTGAGTTCTTCCAAACTTGCCAGGAGCAGCCTACCCCAGTACACATTATCAGTCCCATGTAAAAGAATATGATGGAAACTTTCTCAATATATTTCATCAGTTTAGCACGTCTCTGGTACAAAAATCCAAGAAAGGCAGCACAAAAGCAAAAGTGCCAACCACACTTACTTATAAACAAACATGCATATGTCCCAAACACTACACAGTAGTACCCAAATGACAACATTGCATTAAAAGGTATAAAAGCACTGTACTGTAAAGTTACACGTGAATACTGCACTGTAAATCCTGAATACTCTAGTGACCCACCCCCACCGCTTCCACAGGCCTGGCGAGGGTCAGAAACCATTCTTCTGCCTCCAGACCTTGCTAGTCCTGGGAGACACTGTTACAGGAGCAGTAGGCAGTGGGATTAGTCTCCTGCAGAGCTCTGGCCTCCTCCATACCTTCCCAGTATCCTCAAGGCTTGGGGGTCTTTCTTAAAGACCATGGCCAGGAACTCCATGATTTGCTAGTTGGTAATTTCGCGGCCGGCCCGGGAGCCCCAGAAGAACTCATACACCGGCTGCTGCACGCATGGGCCGTGCCAGTACTTAAGGTAATTCTGCTGGACACACTCCTTGGTGATGAGCTTCCGCATGTCCCGAAGGTGGAAAGTGGAGTGTTTTTTCCAGGGCCGTAGCCCCAGGACGCGCAGCACGTTCCAGACGGCGCTCTTTCTGGCGCTGCAGCCTTTCAAGTAGATGAGGCTCAGGATCGTGAGAAGGCCTGTCAGGACCATGCTGTTGCTCAGAGCCACCCTGTCCAGCTCCTCGGGCTGCAGCGCTTTGACCAGCTCAGACTCCATGGTGTGGAGGCTGGACAGCCTCTGGTGCAGCCTGGTCAGCTTCCATGGTGCATTCTGAACACCTGGGCGAGAATGAGGCCGGTGAGCCTGAAGATGCCCCTCCATCACTAATTGTAGCTGCCGATGACATCCTTCCATGTCTGGAAACCAAATGATGATCTTCTTCTGGTCCTTGACCCGCACGTACCACATGAGCTCGTGCGTCTTCTTCAGCAGCTGTGCTGGGCCAGACTGGGCCGTGCTAGGGGCCTGGTGGGCGCCGCCCTTCTCCGCGGCCTGCTGCAGAGCCTTCGGGTCGCTTGTGGTCTGGGGCAGTGGTCGGGTCTCGAGGAGGGCTCTTCGGCTCTGCGGCTCTGCGGCTCTGCCAGGGTCGCAAACGGAGGAACGCCTACCGAAACCCCAGGGTTGCTATGCACCTCGGAGCTGGAGGCCTCGGCTGCAAAGTTGGGGTCGCTCAGATCCTTCCTTTGTTCCCACCGGTCTGCTCCCTCTGACAAGAGCCTCTGCGTCCAGGAGCACTTTGAGTCTGCCCTCCCTCCGCGGACTCCTGGAGAGGAAGTCTCGTACTCTCACCTTTTAAGAATCAGTGCAACTATCTCCTCTTCTAGGATGCCTTTCATAAACTCTTCTCTATGCCTTCTAGGAATTAAGTTATTCTCTTCTGTGTTTGTTCATTGAATTTCTGTTGTGGTATTTATGACTTTGTATTCTTATTTTACTTTACCTGTGTTCTCTCCTACCCATCTCCCACACAATCAGAAACCAGCACTGTGTCTGCTTGTTTAAAGATAGTAAAATAAATACTTGGAGCTCTTAGCTCCCTCCGAAATTTCAATTCAGTTTTAGATAATACTTCTGGAAAAAGAGGAATATTCACTTTCTTATGGAAAATATTTTTAAATACATTTAATAAAAATATTATTCTGACAGCATTGTAAATTTGCATTTGGTATATGAACTTTTAGAACTGCTTAAAAATATGTGAATTTTAAAGTAATGCATGATCATATTTAATTGTCGGACTTTTTATTTTCCTATATAGGGCTGTAATCAGTGATCCGGAACAAAATTTAGCCATTGAGCAAAAAGAAAGTGATCATATCCTTCCAGATTCAAAGATGACACCTCTTCGATTTAGAAAAAGAACACTACATGAAACAAAGTAAGAAGATTTTAATTACATAAAATGAAGATGCACTATGTTCTAAAAGTATTTTTAAAATGTACTTCTGTGTCTAGCTGGAGCTTCTGTGTTCGTTTCACTTTTTTCTATATAAAGAAAAGTGGAATTTTTTTAGTTCAGCTCCCAATTCTGCTACTTTATGATATTAGGGGCAATACCTTATTTTACTCTCTTTGCCCTCCAGATTTTTTATTTGTAATTTAGGGGAAAAAAAGCCACAACCTTTGGAGATAATGGATGTGAAAAATGTATCATATAGTTACCGAGATATTTTACGTGTGTTATATATAATGGCTAAATCTCATTGGCATGTTAAAAATTGGTATTGATTATACTTTTTTTTTTTTTGCATTTTACGTTGTAGCTTTTTCAACCTTAGAATTGGTATGATCTTTTACAATCCTCTGATGCTGTCCACTTAAATTCTTCAACAGTTTCACTGACATCGAACCTCAGCTTTAGTAGGCATAAAAAAATCTACCAGTACCCACAGTAACTTTTTTATATTTTCAGAGTACTGTAATTGTTAGTATTTTCATATCTTTTTTTAATCGTTTTGTCTCATTCTTATTTTCTGAAAGCCCTTGCTTTCATCCATTCAAATATTTAGAAGCATCATGTGTTAGCTTCCTATTGCTGCTGTAACAATTACCATGAGCTTAGTATTCTAAAACACAGATTTATTCTTTAATTGTTCTGGAGTTCAGATGCCTAAAATCATGGGATTGATAGGGCTACATTCCTTCTAGAGGTTTTAGGGGTGAAGCTGTTTTCTTGCCTTTTGCAGCTTCTAGAAGCTGCCTTCATTCCTTGGCTCATGGCCCTTTCCTCCACCTTCAAAGTCTGCAATAGCTGGTTTCATGCTGCATCACTCTGTCACTCTTTTTCTATAGATACATTTCTCTCTACATTCCTCCAATAAGGGCATGTATGAGTGCATTGACTCTTCCTGGATAATGCCAATAGTCTCTCCATTTTAATGTTCTTAATTTATCACATATGCCACATCCCTTCTATCATATAATGTATTCTCATGTTCCAAGGATTAGGATATAGACATGTTGGGCCAGAGGAGGTCATCATTTATGTACCACACATCTAAACTTTCCTTTTTAAAAGTAAACTTCCATTGAAATAAAACGTACATTCACAGTGCACACATTTTAGGTGCACAACATAGGAGTTATCAAAAACAGAACAACACTCATATACCAAATGCCCAGATCAAGAAACAGACAATTGCCAGTACCGCAGAACCTCCCCTTATGCTGCCTCCCAGGTACTATTCATTTCCCCTGCTATACCAGGTTAATCTCTCCATCTTAATATCATAGATTAGAACTGCCTGGTTATGAAATTTGTGGAAATGAAATTACAAGAAATCTAGACTCTGTGTCCGGCTTATTTTTTTCCCTCTAATGGCACTTATTTATTTAGTTGTATATAAGATGTATAGCATGATATTTTGATATACATAGTGAAATGTGTTTGGCTTCTTTTACCCAACATTATGTTTGTTAGTTTTATCCATGGTGTTATTTGTAGTTGTCTTTTTTTAATCTCATTGTTGTATGGTATTTCATTGTACCACATGCCACAACCTATCTATTCAGAGGTTGATAGATATTTGGCTGTTTATGAATAGTGCTGCTATGAACTTCCTTGCTCATGCCTTTTGGTAAACATATGTACTCATTCTGCTGAGTATATACTTAGAAGTAGAATTGTTGGACCATTTAGTATCCATATGTTCAGCTTTAAAAGATGCAGCCAAATAGCTTTCCCAACTGGTTGCTGAAATTTACACTCCCACCAGTAGCAGTATGAGTGTTCTTGTTGCACCATATCTTTGCCAGAGCTTGGTATTGTCTGCCTTTTTTTATTTGAGTTCTTCTTATGGATGTGTATTAGTGATTTTAATTTGCATTTCACTGGAGACTAATGTAGTTGGGTACTTTTCCATATGTATATAGGCCATCTAGATATTCTCATACAAAATTTCCATTCAAGCCTGTTGAGTTGTCTGTCTTTTTAGTATTTATTTGTGGATCTTATTTACATGTTTTAGAAATGAATCCTTTTTCAACTATATTTGTCACACATATCTTGTCCTACTCTGTAGTTACCTTTTCATTCTCTTGATTGTATCTGTCTTAAAAACTAAAGTTAGAAATAGGAGTTCCTAATTTTAACATAGGCCAGTTTTCCTCTTTCCCTATATTGTTAATGTCCTTTGTATATTCCTTAAAAATAATCTCTGCCTACCACTAAATCATTTTCCTTCTGACTTGTAATGCCACATATGTCATATGTCAAGTTGTTATATGCATGATTATGACATGACATGTTATGTGCATGTCTAATGCATGGTTGGTTTCTAGACTTTTTCTTCAGTATTATCTGTTTCCCTGCGTCAATATTATCCTAATTAGTATTGCGTTGTATTAGAGTAAATACCTGCAACTTGTTTCAAACTAATCTAGTTCCATGAGAAATCCTGTTGTGGTATCAATTAGAATTAATGACTTTGTAGCTTTCACTCCTCTTACCCCCATTTATTCTTCCCAGAGGAGGAGAGAGTTCTGCTTCATAAATTTAGAAGCAGGAATTGGCATGGGTAGTGCAGCCCTTCCTCTCCCCTTTGTTTGGGAGGCAGCAGCCTGCAGAAGCACACATTCTGCCCTGTGCATTGTTTTAGACGGTCCCTCCCCAGTGGAAATGAGTGGGTTAGTCTGTTTAATTATAGTGGTAAGGACTAGCTTGTGGTTGCTGCATACCTAAGCTGTGGTTTCTAATAGCTTTATCAATACTAAAATTCGTACTTTAATCTTCAATCTTTCTGATTCTTCTTTATGTATTGGTAAGAAACTTGGGTTCCTAAAAGGAATTGGGCACCTAAAACCCAACATGGCACTTTGCATTTTATAGTGTAAATACATATTTACTTTTATCTTTTCGAGAAGACTACAGGGCCCTTGAAGCTGCTACTTCCATTTGTCACTGTTAAAGTGAGTTCTGTTTACTATTGAAAAGCAATATAATGTAATGGTTAAGAGCAAAGTTTTTTCTAGCTCTGCCATTTACTAATCATATGGCCTTGAGCAATTTACTCATCGGTCTCTGTTTCTATAAAATTTATTTGAAAAATGGGAATAATAACACTTAACCTCAGAGTTATTGTAAGTAGTAAATAAACCAATACACATTAAAGTGATTTTAACAATGACTAGTGTCTGGGAAATTCTCAATAAATGGTAGCCATTACTGTTGCTGTTATTTTCTCAGCATTTAGAATTGTTTCAGGCACATAGTGGGCATTCAATAAACACATTAATCCCAGTGGATTAAATTGAATTGAGGTGGTTAAGCTCCCATGGCTCTACTCTGTGCTCACAAACTCTCATTTGGTGGAGGCTCATGTTTCCTGTCCCCCGCTTCCTTTTTGTAGATACCCAGATTTTATAGAGGTGTAGCTTTCAAGATTTCAGTGACCCACACACTTACTTACTAATTACATTACTGCCATTTCATTATACCTGCAGTTTTATGGGAGAAATATTATTGTGTGAAGCAAAGAAGAAATGTATCATTTAGTCTTCAGATCTCTTAATATATAGGAGATTATTGGCAGTAGGGTGCTTTGGTTTTGCTTTCTATTGTTAAATATAATTTTAGGGCTGGCAGCCTTTATGAGATCACTCAGTACTGTCTGAAGGCCATAATGCTTAAATAACCTATTGATCTATGACAAGGTTCGAACTTCATTCAGCACTCTTCCTCACTCTTTGGTTATTCTGGTAAGGAATGTTTTCAGTTACACATCACTGAAAAACGATTGATAGTGGCTTAAACAAGTCAGAATTTATTTTTCCTATATAGTTAGCTGCTTGGAGGTAGGCATTTATTGATTTTGGTTCAGTAGCTCAGTGATGTTACAGCTCTAGGCTGGCTTTCCTATATCTTTTTGGTCATTCTGATGTGGTGGCTTGATTTCATGGTGACTATAGTGGCTCCTAGCATCATATCCCTGCCATGTTCACAGGCAGGAACTCTTCTCATGCCACTCTCTTACCAGGACAAAAGAAAGTCTTTCCTGGAAGCTTATTGGCAGAACTAGGTCCCTTACTCATCCTTAGTTGCAAGATGCTAAGAGCAAATTCTGTGGTGGGAGGGAAGCAAAGAAGAAGAGGGTTAGAAATGGCACTCAGGTAGCCCTGCAACAGTGCCAGTCACAAATGTTGTATCCCTGTTCAATATTTACTTTTATAGCACTTTGATGGTATAGCTTCTAATATAAAAGTCGTTCACATATTATATACTATATCTCAGAGTTATTTCTTTTGTGTCTGCTACAATTAGCAATCTGAAAAAGAAGAGTACCTTTATCTTTATCCAATCTGTGTGGTTTCAAAATATTCACATAACTTTTTTTGTACATTTTAATTTCCATCAAGTTATAGGTATCTTAAAAAGTTACTGACAAAATGTATTTCTTAACAGGATAAGAACTCATTCTACATTAACTGAAAATGTGCTTTCTCATAAATTACAATTTGATGGTAGGATCATGTCACGGTAATTGTGATTTTATTAAAATTTTTAATCCTATGATTACAAAAACATATTCTCTTTTGAATAGAAATAACAGTAATGAGACTAGATGGGTTTGTATCATTTAAAAATATGTGAATTTAGAACAGACATTTTAATGTAATATCTAGTAATCTGTTATAAAAAATAAGAAATATGAATCTGTAGGAAAAACATTCTAATTAAAAGTTATCTTTGAAGCGAATTTAAATGTTTTTTAAAAAGTAACTTAGCAGTGAATTTTTAAAAGAGTTATATTACTACCAGAGTATTGTAAACTGAAAACTAATGTTTTATAAGCTGCTTTATTTAATTTTGTCTTAATGATTTAACAGAGTATCGATAGATGCAGTGACAAGGAAAATAATTCTTAAATCTATTATTTCAGTCTTATAATCTTCCAGTAATACATAATTCTACTTGATGTTCTTTCTATATTACTAGTAAAATGTGTATTTTAACTTATCTTATTTGTTTAGTGATTTTAAAGCTTTCTATGACAATAAAAGATAATAAATTTGTATCTATGTGTGCCTTCTTGCAAGCTCAACACTTTTAAAGATAATTCACTTTATCTTAAAAGTCTATGTTGAATTAATAATTTTACATTGTAAATATATCCACTTTTCATGTCAGTGTAATATTTTTATTTCTGCATTCAGATCTAACTTTTAGTGGACATTTCAGCAAGCTGTGTTTTTGTGTTTTCCCTACAGTTTCCCATAACCTTCACTCATTGCCACATACATAAGAGAGTTAGCTATCCCTCTTGAGATGCACACTTTTTTTAGTTAATTAATCTAAAAATTATTATATTTGAAGATATTTGATATCATTCTATTTTTTCCAGTAATGGACGTGATGCTTGCAGAGAGCTGATTGGGTTCTTTTTCACTCACGACCAATCCCTTACAATTTATGAATATCGACAATTTGGGAAAAATAGGTATGCCATAAAACATTGTTAGAACTCTGGAGATGATCACTTCTGAGAGAAACTAAATAACTTTCCATTTTTTTCTCATTTACTTTCTAGAACAATTGTGCTTCCTTTTATTCAAAAAAGCATTTATAGTCATCAATGTGGACGAAGAAAAGGAAAACAATACCGACTTGGTGATTTTTATGTTGTAAGTTGTGTGTGTATGTGCACACATTTAATACCAGATGGTGGATTTTGTAGAGTCCTATGGAGGTAGAGGAACAGGGCTTCTAGTCTTCAATTTATTTCCTCTCCTCCGTCCTGAACAGGGTCATTTATGTGGGCTAATGGTCGATGTTTTCCCAGGCACTTCTGCTTCCTAGCCCCAAATCTCAAGTCTGAATACAAGCATAGCATTTATTTTCTGTAACACCCCCCTTCCCATTCCACAATGTGGCTTGTCTCCAGATGAAGTTGTATCTTCATACTTTGAAAGGTTCTTCAAAGCTGTGTCATTGGCTAAGTGGCTATCTCAATAGCACCAGGAGATATTCTTTACCTAAAGTTGGTTTATCCTCTGAGGATGGACGGTTTCCTCCATGTGAAGGGGTATGGGCCTCTGGAGCTATCACTTTTCTGACAGATAGCCTATCTTCCTTGTGATTTTCCCACTTCAGGAAATTCCTGGCATTTGATGTGTCACAAGGATTCCCTAGAATGTGTGGAGCATAGATAGTGTTACAGTTTGTGTAGTGCTCTTAAATTTTAAATCGTATTTACACTTTATATCATGATTAAAATACAGCACTATCCACAGTGATCATTCAGGTAATATATGTTTCTGTCCTAAGATCTGTAGATAGAGCAGTAAGTTAGACTCATTCCCTACTTTTGTGGAGCTGACAGTCTAATTGGAGACACAGATAGATAGGAGGGCCAGATAGGAGGGGCAATGTGGGCCAGATAGGAAGGGTGATGGCCCAGTTTTGTGTAATCAAAGGAGGTTCCCTAGAGAAAGTGCCATCTACCCTTGACTAGGAGTTAGCAAGGCTGGGATAAGGGGATAGGTGAGGGTGGGGAAAAGCTTCCAGGTGGAGAAGACAGCTTGTGCTAAGAACAAAAAGGAAGAGAGCACATGACTTATTTGGAGAACTGGAAGTAGTTTAGTCTGATTGGAGGAGAGTTCAAGGTGGAGGCTGGCAAGAGATGAGTCAGAGCTTATTAAAAAGCAGCCTATGTTAAAGAGTTATCTAACATGTATTGGGGAGTCACTGGAAGAGAAGATGTGGATGGAGTGGGGGAGGGTGGCATGATCAGATTTGTGATTTTGAAAGATCTGTCTGGTTACAATGTGGGGAAGGAATTGAAGACTAGATACACAAGGGCAGGATGGGATTGAATTATATTAATCAAGGAGAGAGATTATGGCAACCTGAATAAGCAAGTGACTCTGGCTATGAAGCTAATTAGACAAATAAAAATTATTTGATAGGTAGAGCCAGTACAGTTTGGTACCCAGTTAAGGGAGAAGTATGGGTTGAGGAAAAATTTTACATCTTACACTTAAATACACTATACACTATACATAAGGCACTGAAGCCTGCCTCTTGAGATCTAGAGAAAATCAGCTTCGATTCCCATTTCACAACCTGCAGAAGAATGTTTAATGCATATTCCAAGTTTAAAGTTTGAGTTTATGTCTCCAAAAATTTAGTGTACTTTATGATTTATTGTCACTATCCTCATTCCATATTTCTTTGAAGTAGATGTGGAACTCTGCTCTTTTTTATGATTTCCAAGAAAGAAAGAAAATAAAGAAAAAGAAAAGAAAGAAAGAATAAAAAAGAAAGAAAGAAAGAAAAAAGAAAGAAAGAAAGAAAAAAGAGAGAGAGAAAGGAAAGAAATTCAGCCAACTATATATAAACCACATATATGATGCTTTGTGTGTGTAGCAGATATTTTGAAGGGGATATCAAAAGAGGTTCACATTGTAGCATTGTAAGCAATTTACAATTTATTATTAGACATCCCTACTGTTAAAAATACATCCCTTGAATATTTCCCATGGTAAAAGCACTCTTCTCCATTTTTTTAACTCTTCCACCTCTTGTTTCTCCCCACCAATCTATTGTTTTATGCAGAAATATTCAACTCTATCCCTCTTTTTTTTTTTTTTTTTTGATGGGAGTATTCTGTTTTGTTTTCCAGATATGGCTGTGGAACTTGTCTTTTCATGTCTATATGCCTCATTAAGTCTTTTTCTAAACACTCCTTAAAAGAAATTTTGGTGCCAGTTTTTAAGATAAATACATGAATGTGCACATGTGCCCATAGATGCGCCTGCCTAAAGGTGTACCCACATAGGTATTCACTCATATGCACGCATATATGCACTGACGCAGGCTGTTCCCTTAGGCACACATGTAAGTATACACACATATACTTCTATGCATAACACTGTTACACAGATCACATATTCTTAATTGCTTAACATGATAATTATTTACAGGAGACTCTGAATCTTCTCATCCTCAGTCTTACCCTCACTCAACTAAAAAGTCAATCTAACCTGCTATGTTCTACTAAGTGTTCTGCCTAGATTATTATAATCTAAATCCAGGATAATATTTCACTTTATCACTCATAGTTCTCCATCTTCCAATCTGAATTGCAGATTCTTTGGCTCTTCCTTTATATATCTTCTTTTCTATCTCTGGTAGTTTTTTCTTTATTTCTTTCAGGTTTTTGTTTTGTTTTGTTTTTCATGCTGTCAGAAGATCACTCATTTCTCCAAAGCCTTCCTAATTTCTGGGTGTTATTCTATTATGAGGATCTAAAAGATTAAAAACTGAAAGAGTCCAAATCTGAACATAGTATCTAATATAGCACTCCTACCCTTCTCTGTTCTTTTAATGGGCTTAATTTTTCTTCATAGTCCTGACCATATAGTATGTATGTATATTTTTATCTATTCATTATTTTCTCTGACATGACGCTATAACCCCTTGAAGGTAAGGACTTATCTATCATGACCCCTACCATATTCCTAGCAACTGGAAGAGTGACAAGTACTTAGTAGACACTGAATACATGTGTATTTAATGAATGGATTTAAATGTGATAAGTTGCAACTTGTGCAAGTGCCTAAACCACTCTCAATCCTGAAGGGATATTTTTAATATCTCTATTTTTGTATTAAAAACATGAAGACAAAGCAAACATCATATGTGTCCAGATTTTTCATCAGTGAAGACTGGATGAAAGACTAAATAAGTGCAAAAGAGCAATGTTGGATATACACTAATTGCCATCATGCTGACAGCTATGGTGGTGCAGCATCTTGCTAGCCGGTTTCCCAAAAGGTTTTATTTGCCAAATGCTGGGAAGGTGAAATATTTGCCCAGCAGAAAAAACAAACAAACAAACAAAACCCCACAAAGCTTTAAATTTGAAGTATAGGTAAATTTTGCCAAGTTTTGTAGTCAAATATGTTTAAATTTTTAACTAAAAAATTGAGAATTCTTTTTTCAGTTTTCATCTTACCTTTAGTTGTTGTTTTTCTTTCTAAATTGAGACATGGTCTCACTGTGTTATATAGGCTGGTCTTCACCTTCTCATAACTTGTCCACAGGCTGTTGTTTGTCCTTTAGTCCCATTCAGCAACCAAAGGGAATCATTTACAAAACACAATCTGGTCTTCCAGGCCCATTCATTTACAACCTCCCCCATTTCCCTCTCACCAATGAGGAGAATATTTAAGTATCAACCATCTGGCTTTTTGAGTTTTCTTTCTTTTTTTCTGTTTTTTTTTTTTTTTTGTATGGCTCCTATGCTTATGCACATTAGTAAATTTTTTATGCTTTTCTCTTGTAAACTTGTCTTTTGTTACAGGGATGTGGGCAATAAGCATTATGATGGGGAGGAAAGGGATCACCTCCTTCCTACCCCTAGACATACATGTTTTTGGTATAAACAATAACTAGTCCTCAAATAAGAAGACTTTACGGTACCATCTGTCACACAGTTTATCCTAGATTGACCTGGTAATTAGAGTGACTATCTGTAGTAGCTAATTGGCTTTATCCAGGGGAAGAAAAAAACAAACTGTTCATATCTTTGTGACAGGAGGTGGTTTTGCACTTAGAGCAAGGTGCCTAAGGAAGTTAGGCTCCCACCCTCTCACAGAAACTGGGAGATAGCAGTACTCTGTCCCTTGATGTTTACACTCAAAGAGTGGCTCACGGGTCCTTGAGAAAGCCTTATCTAGGTCATAAAACTGACAACAGGCTTATCTAATTTTCAGAAGTATTTGTATACATTTCAAAGAGAGGAGAAAGTACTGACATTATAATTACAAATTCTGTAAAGTAAATGTGCTGAGAAAATGGAGGGGAAGGACGTCCTTCCCTTCTATGCAACAGGCAAAATTAAGCCCCTATTTAAAATTTGTATTTGTTGGCCAGTTGGCCAGGTGCGGTGGCTCACGCCTGTAATCCCAGCACTTTGGGAGGCCCAGGTGAG